AGATGTCAGACATGCATTTATAGCTGCAAGAAAATTTGTGAACTTTTAGCAATTACTACTAATTAAGTAGTTTTTATTTTTTTTTAAAAGGAGAACCATTGTGATTTCCACTCCTCCTCATAGTTCAAGCCGATCTGTGACAAAGAAGCTGTCACAGGTCGGCTCTATTGATCGGGAAGTGAGCAGAAACATGCCGCTGATCTGCTCACTTCCCAATTGTCTCCCTGCAGGGAGCGGTGACTTTCAGTCACTGTTCACCGCAGGAATTCCCCCGTCTCATCTTCCAGCACTGAGTGGAGGAATGAACTGGGAGGGGGCGGGCACAGCTGGCTCTGCCTCTAGAAAGGCAGAGCCCACTATCAGTAAGTCAGCTGAGTGGATCTCAACGGTATTGTTGGCATCCGTCCCGTCTGCGGCGATCTCAGTATGTATATCGCGGGCAATAGCCCACTATATACTGAGCTTTGGGTCACAGGAGGTTAGTATACATGTCCTCACGTGACCCAAAAGAGAACTATGGGGGAAAACACTTTTACATTTCCTATCAACTCTCCCAAATACATAAAACATTTGTTTAATAAAAATGGGTCTTAAAAAACAAAATAAAAAAGCCTTACTATCAGATCAGATTTTGGAAGTAATTCGTGTAGATATCAAGACACCTCTCTCTTGAGACTGTACACTCCACGAGGGAGTAATCCAATATAGCCGGACAAGTTACAAGGCAATAACTACAGAATTGAACTTGGAGTCTTTTGACATGTATTAAATGTGTTGACAGGAAGAATTCACAACTTAAACTTGTGATTTTATCCAGCAATTAGTGTCAGTATAATGGCAGGAAAGAAGTGGAAGTACTAAGAAGCTCAGGCAGAAAAAGTGCAACAGATTTCTCCATCTACGCTAAACTGTGTGGATGGAGTAATCTCCCACTGGGCCAAGCTTCAGTATCTTGCTAGTCGGCCCGTGCTGGCTCTCCAAATATCTGAACAATCCGATTGGATGCAGGCATTGTTCAGGTATTTTGACAGCCAGCGGGGCCTACTAGCAAGATACTGAAGCTTGGGAGAGAAAGCTATAATAACCCAAAATATCATGGGAACTGCAAATACACCAAGCTTAAATTAAAAGGAGGAGAACTATGGGGTCAGGGCTTTTCCCCATAGTTCTCCTAAGGGTAACGGGAGGACACAAACTAGCGTCCTCCTGTGAAACCAAAGATCAGTATACCGCGAACTACAGCTAGCGGTATACTGAGACGCTGCAGCCGGGACGGATCCAGACTTTACTGTCTTGATCCACCCAGCTGCGGGATTGACAGCTGGCTCTGCCTATCTAGAGGCAGAGCCAGCTGTACCCGCCCGCTCCCCCGTCCGTTCCGCCAGTCAGCGCTGGAGGATCGTACAGGGGAGGGGGATCCCTGCAGGGAGCCGTGAGTGACAGTCACGGCTCTCTGCCGGGATAGATCGAGAAGTGAGCGAGCGACGCTATGTGTTCGCTCACTTCCCGTACTGAGCCGACCTGTGACAGGAGAACTATGAGGCTGAGGGATTTACACTCGCCTCATAGTTCTCCTTTAAGAATTACAAACATTTATTGAATAAGGCTACAGAAGGTTTCCACCTATTTGTAATACACTAATTATACTTCTTTTGTGTTCTTTAAATTAGGGAAGCACGGAAATGGAATTTTAAGACTGCCTCCTGTGACAGATCACAGCAGTCACCGCTCGCCATCCTAACACAGGAGGCGGGATGTGCGGGAGGAGAGCTCGACCTCCTGCAACGATGACAGCTGTCACCGCCCTGCACAGTTTGGAATCCTGAAAGCTTGTCGCCTCCCTGCTGGGTGCCGGCGCAGCATCAGAAGGCACACAGACTGGCACACAGCAGGGAGGAGAGAAGCTGGGATACACTGAATTTTCGGCCGCATTTTGGGCCGTCATGGCACTTTCAGGAATTTGTCAAAAGTGCCATTTTCGGCGGCTAAAATTATGGTGCATCCCTACTTTACATGAAATGCGCATTGAAGGGAACCAGTGTGAAATAATAAATTGATACCATCATCTTATTAGCATAATTTGCTATCTACAAACTGCACAAACTATTTTAACCTCCGCAGTCCGGATGACCTGGTAGTATCTACAGTACACACAAACCAGCTATGTTTTAGTCATTATTAGCATTATATAAGAAATAGATGTGAACAGTATCTTTTCCACCATGTACCCATGCAGAAATAGGTGGCTATTCTTACAGCTCGTTCATTATTTAGTATTGTGTTCTGTCTGGATTGTTTCAGGAATATGTACCCTGAACTATTGGTTAACTGATGTAAGCCCAAATTTCCCTTAAATAAACAAAAAAGGAGCACTGGAGTACGAAAACCAGAAACAACCAGCTTAATGCACTCTAAACAATAACGAAACTCTGACCACTGCAATAAAAGGTATACCGAACAATACCAAACCACATATTCCAGCAGCAGCTTCAGGCAAAAAAAAAAAAAAAAAAAAGAAAAATAT